GTAGCTTCTTGCTACTAGTAGTAATGGCCTCCAACCTACTAGCGATGTTCTCCAACCTATATGCCCTTGTTACTAGTAGCTTCTTGCTACTAATTAGTATCAATGATTTGATTGCCTGGTCTGCCATGTTGAAAAAGATCAAGATGTCCGCATTCCTTCTTGCCAAATGTGGGCTTCCTTGCCAAGCTAGAACGGGTTGTTCCTCGATGTTAGTCCATGCCCGATAGAACGTGGCATGTACACCAAAACTATCATCACCGAACTCTGTCCAATCGATTGGAGCCAAAGTCTCATTCTCATGACCGCTAAAGCGGTCTCCATGGCCCTGATTTGCCCGCATGAAAACGTTTGAACAGCGGGCGACGGTAGGACCGCCCAAGTCTGGGTATCTGAGCTGCTTTGACTCGCCACCGAGTGTATGCCAATCACTTGCAAGTGGCACAGAGTTTTGCACACCTCTACTCTGAGTATGCCGGGTTAGCTCATGCATGGCTGTCCTAGCCGGACAGACAGGGACAAAGTATCTCAGCCGTGTATATCCGACCTGGGATGGATTGATGGAGCGACCCTACAAGGAATCGGCCAAACAAGGTGATCGCATCCATTCATTACCCTACGGATCAATGACTGTTTTACTGCGTCGCATTTTCCACGAAAGTTGCAAGAAAATGTGACTATCAAAAACTTTTGTTACTCGAAAGATCACGAAAGTTTTTATTTTATTTTCCTAAGTTTTTTTCAATATTTAACTCGTTGGTGTTGTATATATAAAGAGGTCTATCCCTATTTGAAGGCAAAAGGCAAAAGAGCTGGATGGTACCTACAAACTCCTCATGCCTTTGGAGGAGCCTTGCGAATTCGGACCTAAATTAGTGAGCAGGTACCAGTATACACGTTCACCCCTTTACCGTGACTCTAGCGTTACTGTAGCGTGACTCTACCGTGACTCTAGCGTGACTCCCCCCCCTTGCTCGAAGTTTTGTTTGACAAAAACTTTAAAGAAACAAGTTTTGTATGTATAAAAACCCTGCAATGCACGTGTGTTTCCAGGGATCGTCAACTCTGGAGGGCAGCATGCTGAGCGATATGCGGTTAAAATTGCACGCGCGAAGCTTGCGATTGCCAAGAAGAGATTGGCACGCGTGGATGTTTACAACGCATGGTGCAGGTAAAAAGGCGCTATTGAATTTGCTTTTTGTTGAAAAATGTGCTGCCAGAACTTAATTAAGACATATATCTATAAAATGTTTAACATGTTTTAACGAAACTGTCTTAACGAAGTTTTTGAGCGACGAATAAAACACGATGCCGTTAAACTGCGTCGCATTTCGTTCATCCAAGGAAAACTGCGTCGTTGGATGTGCATGTAGGGTTAGTTTGCCTGTCTGCGGAGGTGCAAAGGGTCAATGAAGCGAACGGTGGGGTTATATCTCGAGCAGGCCTCAATTCTTTCCGGGTTACCAAGTGCATGTACACAACGACGAGAAGCGTTCCGTCGAGTCGTGCAAGCTTGCATTAAAGACATTATTTTGGTTGGCGCTCCGAGACAAGCATCGTGCCGTTGCAGGTGACTTCAACTTAGAACCCCAGGCTACTGGTGATGCAGTGGACTGCGTTATCAAGGAGTTCAAGGGAGCGAGTTTTGAGGTTCTACATGGTGATAGCAGCGCGGAGATCTGTTGCGTGCTGCTGAATTTCTCAAAGCTACCCGAACTGCGAGGCGCAGTGAAGAGCGCGGTGGCGGAGCGCTGGACGAGTAAGGAGTTGAGACTTTCAGAGAACGATGCCGATTCACACTATCCCCTCAATGTTCAGATCTCGCCTCTGGAGCTGCGTGAGGGTGACTTGCGTAAGCGATCCGCAGAAGCGTCTGCCAAGCGAGCACAGAAGAAGTCGAAACGATCCTGGACGAAAAAATAGCCGGATTGGGGCTTCATAGACACACACACACATAGATATATGTCATATCATATCGATATCTAGCCTCCAACCTACTAGCGATGGCCTCCAACCTAGACGCCTTTGTTACTAGTAGCTTCTTGCTACTAGTAGAAATGGCCTCCAACCTACTAGCGACGACCTCCAACCTAGAAGCCTTTGTTACTAGTAGCTTCTTGCTACTAGTAGTAGTGGCCTCCAACCTACTAGCGATGGCCTCCAACCTAGAGGCCTTTGTTACTTGTAGCTCCTTGCTACTTATTAGTAGTAATGATTTAATGGCCTGCTCGCAGTTCCAATCTTTTTTGGATGATTGGGGATTAGTAATGTCTCTCCCCCCAAAAAATGCATTCACAGAATCTGTGGGCGCCTCAGACTGACGTGCAGTATTCCTGCTTTCATTTTTGCTGATGGGTATTGTTTTATCTTATTGATCGCTGCACGACCCAGGAAGTCTGTTGGAGAAATCTTTTACAGTAGACATCGTGGTGTGGAGCGCCGCACTGGGGCCCACTGGGGTACCATGACATCAGTGAGGTTGGAATGGGACATCGAAGTGTAATATAGACCCCCATCTAGCAAGAATATACTCTACCGGACCCTTTAAGTGACCTACAGTCACGGCATGCACTTCCGTTGATGGAGAAGTGATGGAGAAGTGATGAACGGTCACACGACCTTTTCTCAAGGGAGCATCAACATAAATTCCGCCCGCCCGCTGGGACGATGTTTTTTCCCAGGTCTGGGTCGGCGCTCTTGGAGAATTCCATGTACCAACCCGTGCCCACCAGCGAGTACTTCGATGGCATGCCGAGCGACGAGCCCGGGCGCCCGGGTGGAAGGTCCGAGCCCGGGCATCAGCTGGGATCAGGTCCGAGGGGGTCGACGACTTGGGCGCCTGGTCGAACACCACCCGTTGGGATCCGTTTGGCATATTTACACGGATCCATTTGGGGTGGTTGAAAAGATGGAGTGGGATCAGCTAACAAACGGTGCTCTGATTCCTGGTGTTCTTAGTGTGAACCATTGAGACGGCTATGCACTCGTTGGTTGTAGCCACACCCTTCAGCACCAATTGGAGACCTTATTTCTGTGCCCACAAGCCCTATAGAGTTGGAGAAAGACTCGTTCGAGGTCCTCGAAGTTGCTACAGGGATCCAATTACCAAGGGCAGATATGTTGAATCGTCACAGAGACACAGGAGCCCCATATGAACTCCTCGTGTCCTCGTGAATCGTTTTCCCCATCCTGACACTCATGGCAGATCCATGCAGCTAGTGGTTTTTGGGAACCGTTGAAGGGTCACACACATCCACAGTTCCGCAGATTCTTTTCAGGCACCTGACCTGCAGCTGACCTGCATCCTGCCAGCTCAATTTCTCCAAGGAATGTAGCAATCCCTCCTTTGGGCAGATCATGTCCCTCTACGCCAAGTGGGGAGAACGGGTCTGAGCGATCTCAGCGATCTGAAGCGGCCATGAGCCAGCAAAACACGGCTATATACTCCCCTGCAGATTCACATGGAACCCCAAAACCACATCGGGTTGGTATGAGGAAATGGTCGAAACCACAGGTCAATTCTCAGGTTCTATATTAGTTTGCGGGGGGGAGTATTTTTCGGGTTTGATCACGTAGACAGTCCACACCAAGAGAGCCAAATCGGAGCCCTTATACCCTTAGTAGCTCTGTTTTTTTTTAGGAGGGAGCTGATCTGAGCTGACCAGATCCAGCTCCACCCCCGTTCCCGCGTTTTCCTTGATTAGGCCGCGTTGCTGGAGCACGCGGGGTGGCCTCTTCAACTTGGTGGTGGGCTTGGTGGTTTGTCGGGACCTCGATCGGTAGGTGCGGCGGGTGGCTTGGGTCAAACGAAGAGGATCGGTATAGATGAGAAGTGGATCAAGCACAAAGCATCGTGTGTCCCTGGTTGAGCTATGCCTAACATTGAGAGAAATCCGCTTTTGCATTGGATAGGCCGTTTCCAAGTTGGGGTAGCGACAAGAGGCGTGAGATCTCGTTTGATTTAAGTTCGCCCAACCTTGGTTGTCAAAGCTCCAGAAAAGCTAAAGGAGACTCCAAGTGGTGTCATCATCATGTGTAATTTTTCTGGGAACTCGGCACTCGGGGGCTACCTTCTGATTGGGCATGCATCGCAGTGATGGATTCTTCAAATTGCAACTTGAAAAGCTTGCTTTTCTGAAGAAATTTGCAAATCGGGTGTCAGTCAAATGCCTGCATCCTTTCGTTTGCCTCACCCTTTCAACAACAGCCTACTGAGTTTACCAGCAAAAAACTGATTGCTGTCCAACACGCACAGTTCTGTTCACTTCATCACTTCGTTTGAAATTTCTCCACCCCATGCTCAACCACCGTTCAATCCGCCCTTCACCCGGGCCCCCAACCAAGTGCCACGCCCCCCACCAAACCACCTCGAAACCCTTCAGCCCTTCCTTCAACCCTGCCCAGAACCCCGCGAACTCCCACCGAACCCCCGCGCCCCGGAACTCCCGGAACTTGAGCGCTTCCCCCGCCGAGGCGCCAACGCGGTGTTGATGGCCGTCGAAGCGGACCTGGGCCTTCTGGGCCCCACGGGGCCCACCTGGTCAGGCTGGAGCGAGACGAGCGGCGCGGAGCGCGGGTGGAGGAAGGGGTCGTTGGGGGAGAGAATTCAAAGAGGAGAAAGGAGGTTGTCCTTAAAGTTTGTTGAGTCTTTTTTGTGCCTACAGGGGTTCCCTTCCTGCAAGGGTCATGTTCTGTTGAAGTGAGTAATTACGTTGTCACCTTAAAAGAGGGGCACGGGAGTAGTCATGTCGTTCTTTTTGGCTGGCACAGATGGCACAGCGTTTGCGAAGATAGTCGAAGTGTGCCTCGTGACGAGGGCGCTTCTTTTTGAAGAGGATATAGTGGCCTGATGTGAAGGGACAGAGACCGGGAAGGAGGTCTCAGGATTGGTTTGAGGAGGAGGCTATTGTGGTCTCATGTGACGGTTGCGTAATCGGGTTGTGCATTTTGAACAGATATCCTGAGATACTCAGGACACACATCCTGACATATCCTGAGATGACATACCATTAGAGAGAGAGAGAGAGTGAGAGCGCTGGTCATTTGCACAAGTGCTTTGAACACCATAGAATGTTCTCCAATCTCCGAATTGATGGGATTGACTCGACGGTCAAGTAGATAGATGAGCACGAGGGGTACATGCGGGCAAGTCCACGTTCCCTCACTGTCCTATTTGCATTGTTGTTTCGATCCTTTTCGCTCGCAAGCCTTGTTTCTAGATCGAAGCTTTGACCAGCTTTGACCCATGACCCATGACTCTTCCTGCAAGTGGTTGAATCTCCCCTCCAGTACCCATAGAATCCCGTAGAATCATATATAGAATCCCATAGGGAGCCGTTGACCATGCTGTTTCTTTTGCTTCTTTTCCTACATTTTCCTACCCAGCCAGCCTAGGAAAAGTGGATAGCATCCTTTGAAGGGATTGGTTTCCCCATGATTTCCCCACTCCAATCGAACAGAATTGGGAAAAAACACAAGTCACTCCCTGTCTCTTCCACGGAAGCCGCGGACAGTCCAGCGCCAGACACGGACAGTCCAGTCGTACCGCAGGCTTGGAGACCGACCTGGACAGCGCCCACGCGGTGAGGAAGATCCAACATGGCCTGGAGTCGGAGATCAAGTATGGCATCAATCAAGACCAAGTCCTCAAGGACCGCGGCGCGGCGCAGCGAACGGAAGCGAACTGAAGCGAAGCCTCCCGACAAGAGCACGTCGGGGGGGAGAGGGGAAGTAGCGGCAGGGCGCATGGCCTAAGTCCGAAGCGTCGCGGAGGTTGCGACAGAAAAGAAGAAGCGCCGTGATGCATCGGTGGTGCACGGAAGGATACGGAAGGGTTTCCACGCCGAGGTGTTCGTTTCATACCGATGAACCAAACGCAGGGGAGGGCCCGGCACGTGTGTGAGTGAAATTTTCAGAGGGAGTCGTGACGGGTAGTGTGTATTAGGTATAACTCCCATACACTCCATGGGACTGCCATAGGACTGCCGTCCTAGTGGCACCCCCCCAACTGATCGGCGGTCCTATGGCAGCCCCATGGGTCGCGTCTGGGACTTAAGACCGTAGGAGTTTCTTTTCCACAAGACTGTAGGGTGCTTGATCGATCGTAGGGATCCCTACGGTGCACCGTTTGGCTGGAAGTCAGTCACCGTCTGCAGCGTCCGTATGTGGATCGACAAGACACACCTTGATCAGTACCTTGATCTTGTAGGTTCGTTTTTCTTTCATATTTCTTTCATGTCCCAACAGTTTTGTTTCTACCTAGACCCTCCAAGTATCTCAGAAAATGGGTACCAGGGTCATGCCCCAAAACCTATAGTGTCTAGAAGCAACGATATTGACTATATATGGCAGTGGGTCAAAACCTAGAGCCCGTTTCACCCTGGTAGGTTGACCTGCTTAGTAGTCTCTTCTGTTCATTTTGGGTGGTCAACCAGTGTCCCCCGGTCTTGACCCATTGGCATAAATAAAACTAACCTACCCGCAACAAGTTAATAACTGAATAACCTTTGACCGTTTGTAACCTTTGTGGGGCTTGATTTCCACCAAAATCCAACATGGTGCAAAAAAGTTAACCCGTTATTTTCCACGGGCATGGCTCCGGTGTCAGCTAGCAGCTCAATGCGTCTCCCCTCGCAGACTCGGTCATCTCATTCTCGTCCAGATGAAGTTCAGGGGTCAAGCTGCTGATGTCGGCCACGAGGTCGACGCCGCAGGTCGCCACATCGGATCTGTTCGTCTCCTGCAGAGCAGCAGCCCTGTGGACTTGATGAAATCCAAAGTCGGGTGATGCACAAGTTCGCCCAGCAACTCGCCCAGCGACTTGCCAGACGCTCCATGGCGGGCGTTGGACTTTCAATGAACTACCTAGATCCTCCTGGTACCTCAGAAAATGGCTACAAGTACCTGTTTTTTTAATAGGGTCTTGTCCCATTTTCTGGAGTACTTTGGAAGGTCAAGGTACAGATACACTTTGGAGGATGCCTTGCCAAGCAGCATCAAACAGCCAAAGGTGTCAGAGCATTGGAGTCAAGGGGCGGAATCAGGGCCCTAGAAAGCAGCCAAGCAACCACCAGCTAAGATGATTCTCAATGTCGTGAGGCAAAAAAACATCGGCTGAGAATCCCACGGAGTACAATTGTTCCGTTTCTTTTGTAAATCAACTTATTATCCATTTATTCCCCAAACTTTGGACCCATCCAACATTCGATCAACTTGCATGGTGGGCATGTCATCTTTGCGACATCTGGAGCAGCTACGTACCATAAACTGGATCCAATCATCCAGCCGCAACGCACAGGACAGCCTGCAAGAGAAGCTGAACGCTTGGGGCCCTCAGACGCCTCCGAAAACGCGCCTCCGAGTGGTTGAGGTAATAGGTGGGGCATCAAACAATGACAAGTGACCCTCAGAGTTTGACGCCTGTCAGGCTATGTTTGTTTCGTTTTTGCACGCCCCAAAGTGTGCCAAAGTGATAGATATAGAAAGGAGTTCAATGCTCTTCAATGCTTAATGGGGATATGTTTTATGTGAGAATAGATCCAGCAAGTAAAGACCATGAGGTTGATTTTGGTAATCCTTGTGAATGTCACAGTCACTTTTGTCGGCATAGTCACAAGTCGGATTCATGAGCTGGACATAAGTCATTGTAGAATAACAAGCGCAGATGTTCAGCAAGATGTCCGCAGCCCAAGTACAAGTATCATGGAAAATCATAGATTGTGACAGGGCCTTGTTCGACTTGCAGGGTGTCCTGCCACGCGCATGCTCTGTGAAACCCAGCATAATACAAAATATTGCATTCCAATGCATTCCAGAGCATTCTGGTTGAATGCATCACGCACAGAATTGCGGCAGGGAATCACACCAGATCCCTGCTCGATATCCTTGGCCATATTCGCCGATGGAAGCGTAGTAGTGTGACACTTCAACATCCTTCAGACCATCTACTACACCAGCTCCACCATCCCTCAACAGCTTTGCAATCCAGACATGAACGTCAGAACGCTCAGTACGCTCCGCGCCTCCGTGCCTCCTGTTCTTCGATCTGTTTCACTCCCCTCCGCCGTTTTCACCGAGCTTCAGGCCCTTCTCGTCCCCCCTTTTCCGCGCGCGCCGAACTCGGGTTCTTCCGGCGTCAAGACCAGGCGACGCTGCACAAGAGCATCGCCTTCAACAGCGAGTTGTCCTTACCTGCGGGGGCCGGACCTCTAAGGCCTTCGGGGGGAAGGCTCAGGTCAAACCATTTCGGAGCATAGGTTGGAGGTGTGGCAGATGCCACCACCTTAGTGGCAGGTGTCAAGGTGGTTGGGAGGAGTGCGTCGTGCGTCAAAGTGGCAGGGCAGGTGTTTGGAGTTGAGTAGCGGAATGGTTTGAGTAGGCAGCCTCAGAGATTCTGTCGGTTTGGGGCTGCCTTGGAGTCCTGGAACACCTCTGAGTCCAACCCCGTGTTCAGTCAGTCACAAGACAATAAGTATATATCTTGGAGTGTGTTTCCTAACTACAAATACAATGGATGGGACAAGCACTTAGAAGAATGCTGAAGCCCTACGGATGGACCTTTTTCAGCTACATGCATTTGCCTTTAATACCTTGAAGCAGCATTGTGAGGTTTGTGATCGACTCGATGGCTCAAGTGCTGTAACTACAGGACGGATCCGGACGCACATGTCAGCTGCACACATGTCTGCTGATACCGCCGAAGCACCTGGATCGGTGAGTCAGAGCCGTTTTAAGCTACCCAGGAAGTCCGTGGGATCACCTGCCCAACCCCTTTTAGGGGGTTGGTTTCCCTACTCAAGTCATCTCAAGTCCAGGTGGAAAAGGGTTCTAATGGGCTATATAACCATAATATATCATAATGATTATGACCCTTTTTTTCCAGGGAAACTGACGGGGTCAGTCTTACCCTGGTGTATATATCTAGGGATGTTACGGGATGTTTACTTAATCAGTTTTTAGGCTTTTAGGTGGTTGCTGGGCTTGGGTTGTGACCCACGGGTACATTTAAAGGTAAAGAGTTCCCCACAGTAGCGGTTAGTTGAGTTTTATTTCTCCCCGAAAGAAAGGCGGGCACATCTATGCACATCTCCAAAAACCTTGGAGAACTGATTTATGCTACCCTTCCTAAAGAGACACTTGTACTCCGCAGGTTTGGGGCAATGGACCTCAGTGTTGTTGTTTGTCCACCTTCCCCACACTCTGATCTTGTTGCGACGACGCGTCATCATCATGCATCTTGAGCGATCTCGGGTTCCTCATTCAGCCGGGCTCGAGCTTGTGCGGCAGCATTTAAGATCGATTGATAATCTGATCGTTGCAGCATGGCGCAAGTAGAAGCACTCTACGATGCCTCCGAGCGCCATGCGTTGCAAAGCGTGGCGATGTCGAACAGCTATGACCGGGTGACGGAAGAGGCTACATTCCTGTCTTACCTTGGTAGGTTTCATGTTTGTGACGAGGCGGGTTGATTCGGAAGGTTGATTGAATCGTGGTGTATTGGGTTGTATCCTACAGGTTGAGTAAAATGAGCAGAGGATGGCAGCTTCTTTAATGATTTTGATGTTGGGGATGGGCACAGGAGCCAGAATTCTGCACCAGTACGTTCTTCCGTCCAATTCCTGCCAAACCCCCCTGAACGTTGGGCTGTTCATCTGGGTTGCACAGAAAGGACTAAAGGCTCCTATGTTGCTTTTTCCTACTACTGTAACAGCCGGTAAACAATTATCACCACTTTTAGAGAAAACCCTGCAACATCCTGATCATCCTGCAACCTCACCCTCACCCTCACCCTCACCCTCACCCTCATCCTCATCCTCATCCCCATCCCCATCCTCAGCCTCACCCTCACCCTCACCCTCACCCTCACCCTCGTCCTCGTCCTCGTCCTCATCCTCATCCTCATCCTCATCCTCATCCTCATCCTCATCCTC